TATATATATATATATATATAATTATCCTTTTTTATTTGTACTTTTGCAGGCCTTATTGGTTCTTATATGTTGAGCTTAGTTTTGATTGTACTGGTTGATTGATTAGTAGGTTGTGATATTTTTCTTTGTTAAAAATAATTTACTCTTTCTCACCTTCTGTTGACCCTAACCTCAATCGAGCAATTTTTACAGTTAACTGATTGTCGAGAATCAATTATTGCTTCACATTCGAAGATATATAAATTTTTTATACATTAATAAAAAAACATGAATACAACAAAAAAATTCATGTATTATTTTACCATGTGAACTAGACAAAGTAATAAAGTTGTCGATATGTTTGTTCAAATATTTTGCAAGATTTCAAATGTGGATTGCTATCCATGTTATTCACGCTAGAGTAACTCTGGCAAAGATGATTAGCCTAATTAAGAAGCAAATAAAGTGAATATTATGATCTCTTAAAAATAGGCTTTTCATACAACCAAAAGCTTAAAAGCAAAAAAAAAAAAAAAGATGAAACAATTTGGCCATTAACAATGTTACTTTCCACTATAGTAACCCCACAACGAACCAAAATGTGGACTATATATACTTTATAATTGGGAAATGCATTATTATTTCTTGCCTTTATTCTAAAAGCACATAAAAACCTATCCTTTTAGAAGACATAATTGTGAATTTGGCCCCCACATGAATTGTTGAATTGCCCACCACCATGTGAACCCATTAGAGCAATGTTAATAGGCAATGGCATCTTTCTAACACATAAAGTCCCCACCACCATCACCTTAATTCACTGGCTCTCATCATTCTCAGCGTGGGCAACAAATACCCCTCCAACTTCCCAACATCTTCACATGGCCCTCACTCTTCATTCACAGTTTCTTTCTTACATACATCAGCTTCTAAGAAATTTCTCTTGCCTAATATTAGGAAACATTTGACAAACATAGGTCTTAGGTTCAAACCACATAGAGTTACTCGGTATCTGTACTTATAGAAGATAGCAGGTACGTACTTCCATTGAATTAGTTGAGATACTCATAAATTGACCCTCACACCACGATTATCAAAAAAAAATTAGGCAAGTCCAGGTTACAATATGCCCTTTTGATCCAAACTTCAATTTATATAGTGTCATTTTTATAAGATACTAATTTAGTTATTGCTAATAAATTAAATATGAGGGACATTCATGAACTTTATGATAAAGAGTTGGGGAAAAAAGATGTTAAAACAATACACCACCACCACCACCACCACCACCCCCCCAAACCCCACAAAAATGTGTTGAGAGGACATAGAGAAGCCAACTTTTATTTTTCCTCTCTTTTTAGAGACAAGAAATGTACAACAAATCTAAGCTAAGTGATGCGTGAAGTCAGCATGCATGCCCTACTTACTATATAGACGATGTAAGTATCACGGAAGAAGCAAAGTAAAGTATTCAATGCTAACAAAAAAAGGTGAAGAAAAAGAAAGAAGAGTTATGGAAAAGAGCAGATCCTATCCACAATACTCATCTTCAAACTATTCTGGAGAATTACAAGGTGATCAATCAAATGTGTACACATTCAATGGTCCAACCACAAAAGGGTTTGCACCAACAAATGATCCAGAAATAAAGAGGAAGAAGAGAATTGCAGCATATAATATGTTCACAACAGAAGGTAAAGTAAAAGCTACTGTAAGAGAGAGCTTTAAGTGGATCAAGACTAAGCTTACTGATATTCGTTACAGTGCTTGAAGATTAATTACCCTTTGATAATATCTCAAGGTTTTTCTTCAATGGTGTTTGCTCATTTCGATGGAAATTTTATTATGGGATTTGAATGTGAGTAAGTGTCATGGAATGCGCATGTATGCATAAATCATCAAGTATATATATGAAAATTAATTAGATGAGACTGGTTTCTTGATCTATTCTTTTATGATTTCTTGTTTTCTCTTTTTAATAATAAGAAAAGGCAACAAACAAAATCAAAGAGTAATCGTTTCATATTCTCGTCATCTAATCATTTCATATAACCATGAAGAACAACTACGTTGTGTTTTCTTTAATTAATTTATTAAACTTTTAACATTTGGTGAGCTTTCATTATCCTAAAAAAAGTTTCAATCTTTTCTTTTTTATAATGGTATGTCTCGACTTCTCCATAGATACTTCCATCTTCACTAGCACATGAATCTGGTAATTCTGTCCGCCTAAGCTAGCTTAGATAGTAGAAAATATCACTTAATATATTTTGTTTATGTTATGTGTGCGCGCGCGGGGGGGAGTGGAGTGGTACTGGGTTGAGGAGGTATCGAGGTACGAGGGGAAGGAGAATAACTCAATCAATCCCTCAACCGCGTCCCGCGATTAGATCAGGTCTAAAACCAAACACTTCACATGACGATAAAGTAAAAGTTTAATCAAATCTCCAAAAAAAAAAAAAAAAAAAAAAACTTGAAATCAGGGATTTAGGTCGTAGAAATTAGGAATTTTAATTGAGATTTAGACCTCAAATTGAAATCGGATTTCGAAACAAATTATATAACCGGGCTCGGACGATTTGGAGAGGGGACTTTCATCTACAAACATTGGGTAAGTGATTCTAATTAATTTCCAATTATATTTCATGATTATACGAAATTTTTCCGTTTCCTTTTTCAGGTATCATTCTTGATTATTTATGAGATTTTTGTTTCAAGTAACTAGATGTTCCTACTACTACTTGCTTTGGGGTCGTTTGGTTGGAAAAAAGTTATCCCAAGATTAATTATTTCGAGATTAGTTATCCAGAGATTATTTATTCCACTTTTCCATGAGGATAAAAAAAATACTACAATCCCGGGATAACTAATCCCGGAATTAGTTATATCACAATTTTTTCTCAACCAAACATGAGATAAACTCTTCTTAAATTTAATCCTGAAATTAGTTATTCCTTATCCCTAACGAGCCCTTCGTGTCAAAATAGTCTCTCTTGATATTGAACGGTAATTGTGAATTTCTGATTCTGACGAATGCATCACCCCTTTTTTCGACATGCTTTTAGCACACAATGAATTATATATATTTGCTAAATATAAAAGAAGATTGCTGAATTTGAATTAGGACCAGCTGGAGGCATGTGTTCTCTTCAAACCCATCCATTCATTTTTTGTAAAAGTAAAATGAAGTATATAAAATAGAAAAGTTGATTAAAACAAATGTGTTATTTCTCTTTTTGTTTTTTTATTTATTTTATGTTTACCACCTTGTTAGACGAAAAAAAAAAAGCTTTTGAGTTAACCCAATAATCCCTACAACTCCTGTACTGTTTGATATAATTCTATTACGATCTAGACGGGAGCTACAGACTTGGTAATACTTTTTATTTGTATTTTTATAATATTGGCACGCAGTGAGTTTAAATGGAGTACTGTCAGTGGCGGAGCCAGAATTTTCATCAAAATGAGCCAAAATATAAATAATTAGACACATCGAAAAGTCAAGGGGAGTCAAAGTATAGTAAATATACATAAAACTAGTGAAATTATTCGCGCTACGCGCGATTATAAAAGGATCATTGAACTTTTTCTTTTTATGACTTTAGTCGGGATAGAATAAGTTAAGTTTTACATAGATGAAATTTAGTTATTTTCATGAGATCACATGTCACGACCCAAATTAGGATCGTGACCGGCGCTTAGGAGCAAGTGCTCCCAAGTAAGCCTCATCGGTAATTTTACAGAAAATCGGGCAGAGTTTGCGCTATTTTTGGACCATCCCAAAAATTTCCTATCTCAAACCAGCAACCAAACAACCTAATAGCAATTCAATTGGCAATTGACAACTTACCAATTAGCCAAAATAAGTCTCCACTATTACTAATCAACACACTAACAACCAGAAATACTAATCTACCCCCAACTTTCATAATAAAGGACGATACTCAACATAAGACTATAATAACAAAAGAATACTCATGACACTAAAAGAATGACCATAGAGCGACTCTAAGAGTTCAAAGAAAGACCAAAAAAAAAATCTCCGCCCACGCGAGCAAGTGCGAAGCTCACCGAGAACTATCAACCTGTGCGCTCTAATTAACGAAATCTTCGCCTTCGTCAGCTGCTGTCTCTGTAAAAAAAATTAGCGGGGAATGAGTCGCTAGCTCAGTGAGTAATAACACTTAACCACAACCGTTTTTATTTGAGGACAAGTCAGAAACATGCTAGTATCTCAAAGAGAAAATACATAAAAATGCCCTTTCAGAAACAATAAATAATTTTCAGTCTGATCACGCTTTTCTTATAGTAAAATATAATTAACAATTCAGTAATAAGCTCGGTAACCACTGTATAATATCAGTATTCATATTTTCTTGGGAGGTTTCAATGAACGGATCATGTAATCGGTATAAGTTAAAATCCCGATGGTCTGGGCCATTTAGAGTGGTGCAAATGTTTGCAACTGGAGCTGTTGAGATTGAGTCGGATGACGGGACAAAAAAATTCTCCGTCAATGGACAAAGGTTGAAAAATTACCTTGGAATAGCTGCAGAAAAAGGGGAGACAATAGTGACCAATTTAAAAGAACCCCAATACGAGAATGAGGAGTAAGAGCTCAACTACTTGCGTCGTGCCGCGACGTTAAATCAGGCGCTGCGTGGGAGGCAACCCACAAATTTGTTGTAAGTGTAATGCATAACTTCATAAAAAAAACATTTAGTAGCAGGAACACGCCCAGACCGCGGTCCCAGCGTAACCGAGGTAGGACCGCGGTCCAGGACCCTCTCTGAAGTTTCTCACCGCGGTCCCAGCGTAACCGCGGTCCAGGACCCTCTCTGAAATATAAAGAAGGACCCTGCAAATAGGTGGTCCTAAAGTAGTGAATGGCAAGAAAAGCCAGTTGCACCTAGAAAAATGGGGGTAGCTTATGAAACAAGTGTGGAAGGATGACTGGGCTGAATACTCAGATTATATTTGCAACGCCGGCATAGTCTTTTGTGAGACTCAGTTGAGCGTGATCAAATCGCCGCCGAAATCGAATCATACTCAGGTCCTAGACCACTGAGTATTTTGACTGCAAGTTCGTCATCTAGAATAGGAGCTCCAGCAGTTGCAAGTTCATCAGCAACGTTCCTAATCTCTCGCAAGTACTCAGTCATACTGCGGGAATTTTTTTTAACTGTTGCTAAGGAGTTTCGAAGACTGAGCACCCGTGTATGAGATTTGTTCGCATACAAGTTATGTAACGAGTCCCACGCTTGCTTGGAGGTGGAAGTTTTTGTGATTGCAGAGGTGATCTTCGTATCAACAGATGCCATCAATGCATTGCGGATCAACTGGTCCTGACGAAACCTGAGTTTATATTTGGGATTGGGTTCCTCTGAGTTGTTGACGGTGACAGTTTTTGGTGGTGTTGTCATAGTTCCGTCAAGATAGCCATAGATATCGTGTCCCAACATCAGATACTCGACTTGGGCCTTCCAATTGACAAAATTGATTGGACCAGTGAGCTTTAGAGGAAGTTGGGAACCTGGATTAAATTGAACCAAGTAATTGGTGTTAGTAACAGGGATGATGGAGTCACTTGGATTAACCATGGCTGAAATAGAAACTATGAGTTAGGTTTAAAGGAGACGAGCAGACAATTGATTCTCGTTGGAGCTTTGAAAAGCCCTGATACCATAAAGGTGCATAGCAAGAAGAGTATGAAGGCTCATTCATTTATTCATGATGTACAAAGTTCTTTAAATACAAAGGATGGACCAAGAATATATAAGATAAGGCAATTTGGTTAGAAATGTCTATTCATAACATGATTCCAAATTCCAGTTAGTGGAAGATAAAGATAATGAAAAAATTCAATTCCAACTTTCACTTTGTGAGAAAGAAACAGATTCAAGTAGGATAGATGTGCACAAAATACATATGGAATCTGATTCAAAGAGGCTATCTTTAACTCGACAAATAAAAAAGAAAAAGGAAACAAATATTTATTTGTAGCAAATCACTATGAAGATATAACCACCAAAACTAATTGGACATAAAAACAAAGGTGTATTAAGAACAATTAACAGACATTTTTCTTGAAATGAAACCTTAACCACCAAGTAACTTTTGGGCAGGTCAATTATTGACTCAACCCATTTTTCGTTACTTTCATTTTCTTTTTGCATTGAATTGATTGTTCTTATCTACCTATTCTTTGTCATGCTTTCTCTTGAGCTGAAGGTCTTTCGGAAGCAACCTCTCTAATTCCAAGGTAGAGGTAAGGTTTGCGTAAACTCCACCTCTCCAGACCCACTTTGTGGGTTTTCACCGGGTATGTTGTTATTGTATCTCAACTTATTAAATTCTTGAGCCGGTTTTATTATTCTACCTTTATTTTATACTTTTTCATTGAAAATTTGTCGTTAATATTCTTACTTAGGGTCTTTCTCTGAAATTTGGCTTTAGGCCTCCGATCTTGTTGAGACGGCCCCGAATATATGAGCATCTCATGACTATAGCTCAAATTACTAGGAGTAGATAGTTTCAGGAACTTCCATTGTATATATTTAAATGGTTTCTCGTGGTTGGATTATGAAGCTGAACCATTACTTGCCCCAGTGTGGGTTGAAGTTCCTCTGCTGACCGCGCTAATTGGTAGTTGTATACTGAAACTCCGATCATTTCAGTTGCAGTACTATCAAATAAGATGCTAAATGTGAAATAAATTTCTATTTGCAGCAACAATCAGATATTACAACAAATTACATCTTTCAAAATATAATAAAGCCAAAAACAAATTACTTAGCCGGTCTTTATTTTGTAACACAAAAAGAATAACATAACCTCAAAATACTTGTTTATTAAACAATGTGTCTTGTTTCATAATACAACGGACGTAACGTATAATCTTTTATATAGACCACAAGTTATTTACCCGATCTATAAGTTGCAAACCGAACCTTAGAAGAAAATAACTAAAGGATTTAACTTATATTCACTGACAGTGTGAAGAGTTTTTACACTATCAGAACGAGTTGCAAGTGCCTTATTCAACAACGTCCAGAAGCTTATTGAATTTTTTATGATCAAGATCTCGGAAATCTTTGGTGGATTGAGACCTTTGGACGCGACTCAATCTGTTCATCGCATCCTTCTTGCTGTTGTTAGCTCTGCTTCTTCTAGCATTGGGCAAATGAGGTCTATTGTTGATGTTCCTAATAGCATTGGGATCAGATTCAGTACTTCTTGGAGAACTCTCTGGACTCTCGACTTCTTTCTCAGTTGGCTTTGATGTGCTTGAGGATGTGCTTGTTCTAGTAGTAGTAGTAGTCGTAGTAGTAGTAGTACTGCTTCCTGCATCTAGTAGGGTAAAGACTGTTGTAACTTTACTCTTTGTTGGCTCCTGAAACATGTACAATTCTTTCCATTTTAATGATCGATCTCCACATACACGGAATATTAAACGACGATAATTGTCTTTGAAGTCTTCGCTAGAAATTCTTTAGTGCTAGCTTTATGGGAGCATAAATTGAGAAATGTACCTTGTAAGAGCTAACATTATCTGGTTTTGTTTCATCTGCTTCTATTATTTTCTTTTTGCGTTCTTTTTGTGATTGAGAGCGTTGTTGAGCCTTGTGCCTGTAGCAAAGGAAAATGGAATAACGAGACCTTGAATTTCAGATCACTTTAATAGAGATTTAAGCTTGATATTAGATGATTCAGGCTATGTAATGAGCTTAAGGTACCAGGACAGGAACATGAAACTTTTTGTGAAAAATAACTGTTGTTTTGTTAATGTAGTGTTATAGATAGGGCTTATATTATTTTTGCTGCAATTTGTATAGTTTTTCTTGTGATGTTCGTGAAGAAAATGGACTATGGATCTAACTCAGACGCAAAAGCTAAGTTTTGAGGTACGGATTGTCAAGGACCATATGAAGAGATTACAAATCATAACCCTCAACTACTGCCTGACTCTATTAACACAGAATTCTGACATTTCAAGAAGACGATTTGGACGTATAAATAAGCTCAGTTACCTTCTCCTCTCAAGCTTTAACACTGTCTCAGGATCCTCCTTATACACTACAGGCAGCTCCGAGAGTTCACATGCCAAGGGGCTCGTACGAAAGAACTGCTTTGAAACATTTTACAGAATCAAGAGACGATAAAACTTCATTTAACAAACACTTCTCATCAAACTTACAGTTAGCATGACATTGAATTTTGTATGTTATTTAACATTTACCTCATCTTGGAGAGCTGAACTTGCAGAACCCCGATTTGCAGGATCTAACGCAAGAAGAACGTTTAGAAGCCTCCACGAAGATACAGGAAAGTGCCCGAAAGCTTCCTTTTTATTTGACCTATAGGTATAAGGTGGTCTGAAGGTAGTTGAAAGTTTTGTTTTCCTCCAGTAATCCTCAGTAGGTGTACCGCAAAGCTTGAATATCTTGTGCAGCTGCTCCACCTAAAGCATATTTCAAGGATTATAGTAGTATCATTTAGGATATGTTTAATCAAATGACAATTTGATGAGTAACATTGGAAATTATATCAAAGTTAGGGTAGTACCTCGGTGCGACCAGGTAGAATAGGTCTGCCTGCAAACATTTCAGCCATGAGGCAGCCAGCACTCCAAAGATCAATACCTATTCCATAATCCGTAGCACCTAATAGTAGTTCCGGAGCTCTGTACCAAAGTGTGACAACTCGACTAGTAAGAGAACGCTTTTCTTCAGGATTGAAGTAGTTTGCAAGTCCAAAATCTGCAATTTTTAGCATCCCATTTTTGTCAATCAACAAATTAGATCCCTTAATGTCTCGGTGCAAAATACCCCTCTCGTGGCAATGCTGCAGCCCCGCAAGCAGCTGCTGCATGTAACATTTTATCTGCATAGAGACAAATGCTTTCAAGATCATCAATTGCAATGGCAAACATCAAGAATTGAAAAGAATGGATTGAAAATATACTGACCTGTGCTTCACTAAGTCTCATATCAGGCCGAGATATTATGCTAGTAAGATCAGACTGCATATATTCGAAAACTATATAAAGACTATATTGCATTCTGGAGGTAGCCAGTCCTTCAAGCTTTATGATATTAGGATGGTCCAATTTCTGCAATATCATGATCTCTCGAGCCATGAACTTTATACTCTCCGGTTCTGTGGTATCAAAACGAACTTTCTTTAAGGCAACAATCTTCCCTGTATCCCTATCTCGCGCTCTATACACATTGCTATAGGTCCCCGAGCCTACCTAAAATATCAAAAGCTTGCATCAAATTCATTTTCACTACTCAGCTTTGTTCTTTACCATTGCATCCAAAACATTCTCAAAACAAAAAGATAGCACAAACTCAATCTAATTTAAGCCTGTTGTTTCTTAATTACACAAGAATATTTATTGGAAATGTCCTCTGTCAAAGCTAGAGTTAAATATTGTTGGGTTTTTTATGTATTTAATTAACATATTAAATACTTAAAAGAGGGTGAATGGGAAATGGAGGGAAATGAAATTTTTGAGTGAAATTTTAAGTTCCCCTTGGTAAATGGACATTGTCCCATATTGGAAGAGGAAAAGGTTTTTTATGGGTATATAAGCAATCGCTCTTCTTGTAGCTCTTAAAGAGTTGAGAAGAAGGCAAGCCTCGCGCCATCGTCGGCCCGGCTCGGATTCGGATTCGGTCAAATGATCGATTGATTGATTAACTTTTTGGACCAAATTTATTTGTTAATAGTAAAATATTAACAGAAATGTTATTAAATATTTGTTTTAATAACAGAATATTAATATTAAATCCAATCCGTTTTTCTGTTTTGGTAACAGAAAATTAACTACCCTCTTCAATTTTTCCTCTTTATTTTCCCTCTTTATTGTTGAGTAAATGGCCATTTACGTAATGGCATTTATGCTGTGGCCGTTTTGCATAAACAGCCATTCTAAAGAGTTGCACCTCTTCAGATTTCAGCCCAACTTTGGCTATAAATACAACACTATTCTGCTCAGAATTTCACTACGATTTTTTGAGTTTCTTCTCCTTCTTCTGCATACTTTTAATATCAAATAAAGCAAAAGTAATTTGCTACCGAACTTTGTGTTCGCTGAAACACTGGGGTTTGAAGTACCACTACACTAGTGTGTAATTCGTTCTATCCTGGGAGGAAATAATCCATAACCTTGGGTACTAGAAGGGATTAAATTCCTTAAGGAAACACTGTGAATTCAGTGGGCTCGAATTGGTTTTCTGTCATTTCTGTTTATGTTCAGTTCTGTTTATATTCATTTATATTTCCAGAATTATTCTACAAATACAGTATACTAACAAGCTTAAGGAATTTATCATATCTTCTGTATTTGTTCTTACTGTTTCTGGAAAGTAAAACCTTTGTAGTTTTGTACTCTATTGGAGATTAAAATCTACGTGATTTTAACGGTTGTGTCATTCTTTTACAGAAATGACTAATGATAACGGAAACCAAGTTGTTCCGATGGTAACTGCCAATGCCTCAAGGAGCCGAACAACACCGGCAGCATTGACACCGGCGGAGAAACCCAAAAAAAATTTCGGGATCGATTTCAAGCGCTGGCAGCAAAAGATGTTCTTCTATTTGACTATTCTAAGTCTCCAGAAGTTCATCAAGGAAGATGTTCATGTGCTGTCCGATGAAACTCCAGAAACTGAACGCTTTCTCGTGATTGAGGCGTGGAAGCATTCAGATTTTTTGTGCAAGAATTATATTCTAAGCGGGCTGGAGGATACTTTGTATAACGTCTACAGTGACGTGGAAACGTCAAAGAAACTGTGGATTGCGCTTGAAAAGAAATACAAAACCGAAGATGTCGGGTTGAAAAAAGTTTGTTGCTGCAAAGTTTTGGACTACAAAATGGTAGATAGCAAGTCTGTTATTACCCAAGTCCAGGAATTGCAAGTGATTACTCACGATCTCCTTGCTGAAGGTATAAATCAAATTAATATTGATGTTGGAAGTAGTAATCTTAGTATTTTTACTAACAGAAATTTCATTGAAGGTTTTGTCATCAATGAAGCATTCCAAGTAGCAGTGATGATTTAGAAGTTGCCTCCTTTGTGGAAGGACTTCAAAAATTACTTGAAACACAAACGCAAGGAGATGTCCCTTGAAGATCTCATTGTTCGGTTGAGAATCGAAGAGGACAACAAAGCTGCTGAAAAGAGAGACCGTGGGAACTCAAGAATAATGGGAGCAAATATTGTTGAAGAGAACAAAAAGAGGAAGAAGGCTTCTGGACCGAAATACAACCCAAGCAAGAAGCGGTTCAGTGGAAACTGCTACAACTGTGAAAAAATCGGATACATATCTACGGAGTGTCGTGCTCCGAAGAAAGACAAGAAGAAAGGTCGAGCAAACATGGTTGAAAAGCATGATGATGTTGATGACTTATGTGCCATGCTTTCCGAATGCAACTTGGTGGGCAATCCTAAAGAGTGGTGAATTGATTCTGGAGCCACTCGCCATGTTTGTGCTGTTAGAGAAGCTTTTGCTACTTATGCTCCTGTTGGACCCGATGAGACGATTTCTATGGGAAAAGCTTCAAAGGCCAAGATTGAAGGATGTGGGAAGATATTTCTCAAAATGACTTCCGGCAAAGTGGTGACTTTGAACAACGTCCTTCATGTTCCCGAGATTAGGAAGAATTTAGTCTCTACTGGACTTCTTGTTAAGAATGGTTTCAAATGTGTTTTTATTTCCGATAATTGTAATAAGTAAGAATGAAATGTTTGTAGGAAAAGGTTATCTCACTGAGGGCCTTTTCAAGCTGAATGTAATGGTTGTTGAAAATAATAATAAAATTTTAGTTTCGTCTTACTTACTTGAGTCAAATGAATTATGGCATATACGTTTGGTTCATGTCAATTATAAAACCTTACGAAAAGTGATTAATTTGGAAGTATTTCCCAAGTTTGAATGTGACAAATCAAAATGTCAAGTATGTGTGGAACCTAAGTATGTTAAACATCCTCATAAGTCAGTTGAAAGGAATTCAAATCCTTTAGACTTAATTCACACAGATATTTGTGACATGAAGTCAATATCATCTCGCGGTGGAAAGAAGTATTTCATAACTTTTATTGACGATAGTACTCGATATTGCTATGTTTACTTACTTAATAGTAAAGATGAAGCAATAGACGCATTCAAGCAATACAAAAATGAAGTTGAAACGCAA